CACTGCCACTCTCAGAGGTTTCAACAATTGTGGCTCTGTTTTTGCCCTTCCTCCAGGTAGGCAGTTCCCATGCAGCTTCTTCTGCAGCCCTCTCTCTCTCCCTTGTTGCAGCCTCTTCTGCCTCTTCCCGTGCGCGTGTAGCTGCTGCTGCTGCTTCTGATGCTGCAGCGCGTTTCTTCAGCTGATGGGACCACCGTCGCTTCACCGGGCGTGATCCTTCAGCCATGACCACCTCACGCGCCGGTCGCCTCTTTTTGCCGCCATAAAACCTATCCACCAGCTCCTCTGTGTTCAGCTCGTAGTCCAGAAGTGACACCGTCATCAGGTCGCCCAGAGTCGTGTCGCACAAGCTGCCGCGCACCCAGCTCTTAATGATGTTCTGACGGCTGAAGCCGCGCTCACACTCAACAGTGCTGAGCGGTAGCACAGCAACAGCAATCCACAGGCGGCCGAGGTTCGGATAGGCAGACTCCCAATCTGGCGTTGAGAGCATCTGAGAGAGGCTGTCGTGGAAGGACAGGTCTTCGTGGTGAGTGGAGAGGATTGTGGTGAAGCTGGTGAGCTCTTTGGCGGCTTTGCCCCAGTCGACACCTGATGGGGAGGGTAGGGAAGGGTGAGGGACATCGGGTATCACAGCAGAGAGTACATTAAGGCACGGCAGCAATAACAGTTACATTAATGATACGCTCACCCCAAAGCAAAGCGCTTACCAGGGAGGGTGTCTGGATGGCTGGGCTTCTTCTTGAACAGGTTGCGCAGCGACTGAAGCCATTCGGGAAACCGGCGCGCTCTCTTAGCGCGCGAACGAGGGTACCGTCCCTGCCGAAACAGACGACTCCCGTCCAACGACTTTAGACTCTTCATGCGATCGTCGATGTAAAACACGGTCCTCCCAGCGAACTTGGATGCCGCCTCCACGCACGACGCCAGGTCGCCCCCAAACTTCTCCTTCCCGATTAAGTCCTCGTGCAGCACGTACGAGTGTGTTACGGGTGTTCCGACGTCGTCAATGCTTTCCACCTTCACCTCGCGATTCTCGGTGCTCCCGTGGTTCTTCAGAAACGTCGCTAGACGACCACTGTTGTCGCCGAAGGTGGAGCCGTACTCCACGTAGCGACTTGTCAAGCACAGGGTGGTGTGTTGCACCATCGACCGAACCTGCGTCGCATGGAGCTGCACATTTCACACAAACAGAATTAGTCACGGCACGGAAAGCCAGGGGGAAATCAGGCAAGACATCGGGAATCACGCGTCCTTACCTGACGTCGCTGGAACTTGAGATTGAGGCTGTTCAGCTCCTGAAGCACGTCAACCAGAAAGAAAAGGAAGAACTGAAATTTTAGACTGGTAACAAGAGTGTACGTTGCCTTGTCGTACTCGTGCAGCAGGACAACGGCAGCAGGCAGCACGTCAGCAAAGCGCTCGATGGCGTCCCCGCGTGAAAGCCAGCGAACGTATTTAATCCCTTGCATCTCCAGGTTGGTCTGTGTAATCACTTCCTGCATATTCTTGAATCGCGCATGCTGCACGATGCTGCGGCCGAGAATATCCGCGAAGGCCCGGACGACTTTGTCGACGACGTTAAACTCGGGGAACTCTTCAGCAGCATCTTTAGCAGCCAGAGCCTCCCTGCAGTCGTAACAAGAGTAGGATTAGTGGGCGAGTTACACAACACAAAAATAAACACAACGACAAACTACCTGTGGGCAACGCAATGGCAAGGCACTATGTGCGGCACCCGTGTTCGTAATCGCGCCACCAGGCCTGTCTGCCCGCCCGTCATAACGCTCGCGCCGTCCGTGGTCATGCCGCTGATCCTCTGCAGTTCGAGGCCGCAAGCAGCAAGGTGTGTCAGCAGGACGGCCTCCAGCGACCCGGCGTCGCACTTCTCAACGGACAAGTTGGCGAAGAACTCGGTAACCACCACCGTGCCACGGAGAAACGTGGCATACACAATCATGTGTTTGCCACGCCTACGGTCGGTGCTTTCGTCAAGTTGAAGGCCAACGTAGGGACTGAGGCTGATGTGCTGCATCTGCTTTGCTTTCAAGTAGCACACCAGCGCCTCGACCAACTGCTTGAAACCGTACCTGCGTCAAAGAGTACAACAAAGAATTAGTGAATAAGGGGTGTTTAAATACAACATTGATGTGAACAGGCTAAACTTACGTAGAACAATAAGTCCCTTGGTCCTTCGCCGGCATGTCTGGCGTTCCCATCTCCGCCATAAACTGCACAAGTGTCATGAACATGACAATGGGGGTGTCGGATTTGCATAGGAAACGCACAGTCAACAACAGCTTTATCAACCGTCGCGTTTCCGCACTCTTATCTCCAAAGTTGGAGATAGCTGCCTGCTTCTTCTGCGGGCCTTCACGCTGCTCCAACCGTCCCTTCGCCTCCCGGTGCCGGATGCTCCACTGATGTTTCCGCATCGTTTGCTTCTGTATGTCGATGCCGCCCTCGCCCCGAGCGCCGTACTGTGACTCAGGATCTGCGTACACCATGCAGATCTTGCACCGCATGCAAGGTTGACCTTCGGATGTGTCACCGATGATGAGCCAAGGGAAGTGGCGGTTCCACTGCTGTTTGGCTTTCAGCTGCAGCTCCTCTAGCGTCAGAATCCGGGGACCGATCTTCTCTGCTCCACGGCTCTCCCCGCCATCTTTCTCGGTAGTGGGATTCCCTGCAGAGGAAGGGCTAGGGCGCTTCGAAAATGAAAGCTTGTGTTGCACATATTTAGTCTTGCCAGGAAAACGCGGCGGAAGGAACGGGGAGCGGGATTTGAAGGGATTCTTTTCACCAGGTGATGCAGATGCGCCAGGTTGACCGGATGACGACGAACCCCCAGGATGACTTGTTGAGCTTGGTGATCGTACGGGTGAAAATGGTATTAGCGGTACGGCATCCATCTCAGCGAAAGGGTAAGGGTGCTCGGGAGAATCGGGTTTCCCATTCTCACAGACCGAAGGAGCAATAGGAGCAGCTGTGACTGGAGTAGGTGTGAAACCCCCACCGGTTAGGAAATCCAAGCCAGTGCGTGGGCGTGGCAACACACTGGAAGGAGGTGAATCATGCAGAGTGGATGCTGGAGGGGCCTCCGTGCGAGGGTCTACAGCCATCTTGGTGGAACTACAAATTGACTAACTCTGACTCACGAGGGTAAGATGGACACCTGACGCAGAGGGGGGTGAGGGGGGACCGTCCGAACCGTGCCGCATGCAGGAACGTCTCGTTCGCTGCTGGAAGCAGCCATCCCATCAATCCCTTGCTGACTCGACGCGCACTGAAGGCTGTCGGTGTTGCAACTGCAGCCTTCTGCCGTGCGCTGGCACGAATATGCCAAACGAACTGGCAAGATTCGTGCCAGCGGGGTGACTGCGGCGCATTTGACGTGCGGTGTTGTCACCGACCAAAGGCAATGTACAGCCTGGCGGTGGCAGCACGGTAACGCGGCGGGTGGCAAGTCTCGTCCGTAACATTGGGCATCAAGCCATGTGGCCAACTAGCCAGGTGGGCAACTGGCCAGGTGGGGGGATTTGTCTGTTTCAGACGAGAAAAAACTCGCTGTCTGCAGTCTCAGACGAACTGTATAAGGCTGTCTGAGAAATCAGACGAATTTGAAAACTCTGTCCTAAACCATCAGACGAAATTAAACAGGTCGTCTACGACATCAGATGAAGTAGTAAAAAAATGTTCAAAATCCAGAAAATCAGACCTAAAATTTCTGATAAAGTAAGCCCTGATGCTGACTAGATGCACAAAATGTGAGATCAGAGTGGGAAATCGAGTTTGTAGTTCGTTTCCCTCATAATGTTAAATTTGTTTCTGTATTTCGTCAGGTTTTGAAATGAAAAAACAACACGCGCTTGTAATAAATCATCTTTTTTAGGGGGTGGGCTTATAATCGAGGACCGGATATAAGCGCCGTCATCCTTTTATAAGCGCTGGCGCTTATTCGAGGCCTGCGCTTCTATCCGGGGGCTTACGGTAACGCTATCTTAATCAGCTTGTTTCCCTTCACTTATTATAAACAAGGCAATTCAGACTGCTGCTGTCTTAAACTCTACTTGGCTAGCATTATCCTGTCCACCTTGATTCCTTGGTTATATCAACAGCCATATCGTGCGCTATTTTTGTCACCCTACGCATTGGGGTAGAAGGCCTAGTCGGCCCGTTGCCAGCATATCATGGCCTAGGCCGCTTATTTGCTATCCGTTTGCCCATTTCGCTATAAAGTTTTCACTATTTTGAACCCTCAACAGAATTGAATAGATATCGTGAAAGCGGTTCAGAGAACATTTTGAAGCTGTCTTGTAATCGTTTGATATGCCTAACCCGTCAGCGTCTAGCGGAGCAGATGGCTAGGTGGACATTCACCTTGAATTTCGCCACCTAATCCAACGTTTGTGAACATGAATCATCGAGCAAGGGGCAGTGGGTGGTTGAAGTCCAGCTTTGAAGGCAAGGGGGAGGATTCACTTTTCCCAAACGCAAGTGATTGGCTTACACATTTGCGAAGGGACTAGATTAGCCAATCATGCGTCGAATATGTGGATATTGTTCTTCGCCATTTCGTCTTTCGCCGACGTGGTCGGGGCGTAGCATTCGAGGCAGTTGGCGTCAATGACCATTGGTGGTGTGTGGCTGCTGGGACTTTCGCGATTCTTCGCTTGTGGCTCTGGTTCATGCGCCTCGCATCGACGGAAATGGTGGCCAGATTCATAGAGCAACAGAGATAGCTCTGATCATCACTACGCAATTGATGTTGGCAATTCACAAGATTGGACGCCTAATCGCTGGAACCTCCATTGCTGGAGCTCTGCCAGCTTTTGTTCCCAATTTTTTGGCTAGATCTTTGGTAGCACTTGAGCCTTCTGCTCCTGTGGCGAGCTTGCGCTAGACAGTTTGTAGACGGGTAATCTCCTTACCCGGATACTGTCCCGCTCGTTTCTGGGGGGCGAAAGTTGACCCAGTTGCTCTTCTCCCGCTATTCTGCCATGACTCACCAAGTCGCACGGTGCAGGCCAGCGCCGCACGCGCTGCCTCACGGCTCGCTGTCGTCGTCGACGGCGGTCGCAAACGTTCGCTCTTTAAAGGCTCCCACGCCCGCCTTGCTCCTCACCTCCCGCCGCTCCTCCTGCCGCCTAGCCGTCCGAGCGATCCTGGACAAGTCGTCCAGCCGCAACAGCAACAGCAGAAGCGGCAGCGGCGACCCGGGAGACGGGCATGGAAAGGTCAGCAGCGACCCGCTGGAAGTAGCGCGGTCGGCGCTGGAGCGGCTGTTCCAGCAGGCGCACGAGCACGAGGAGAAGCAGCGGCTGTTGGGCCCCGCGACGGCGACGGACCTGACGGGCGCGTCGGTGGCGTTCCTCGAGAACGCCGTGCAGCAGCTGGAGGTCGACCTCGCAGCCGTCTTCGAGGCGCTCCGCGAGAAGGAGGGCGAGCTCGCACTCGACGAGCGGCGCGTCGCGGACGAGCGCGCAAGCCTGGTCACTGCGCGGGAGGCGCTCATGGCGCGCGAGGCGCAGCTGGAGGAGCGGCAGGCGGCGCAGGGGGTGATGAGGGATGAGGCGGAGCGGCTGCGGCGGAAGGTGCGGGAGCAGGACGCGGAGGTGGAGGAGGTGAAGCGCGCCGTGGCGGAACGCGAGGCGGAACTGACTCGCGCGAAGGAGGTTCTGGCGCTGAAGGAGGAGGAGATTGCGCGCGCGCACCTCGCCATCCGCCAGCGCAACGAGCGCATCGAGGCGGCGGAGATGGACGCCAAGACGCGCGAGACGCAGCTCTCGGCGGCGGAGGCGGAGCTGCGCCGGCTGGAGGCGGACGTGGCGGCGGCTGAGGGGGAGGGCAGGCGGGCGGCGCAGGAGGCGGAGGCCGCGAGGAGGGAGCTTGAGCGGCAGGAGGCGAAGCTGCAGAAGATGGCGGCGGAGCTCGAGGGGCGCGCGCAGGTGGTGGCGGCGGCGGAGGAGGAAATTAATGCGCTGTCCGCGCGCCTTCGCGAGGCGGGAGCGAGCGGGAAGCTGGTGGAGCAGGAGGTGTCGGGCGCGCGGCGGGTGGTGGGCGACCTCAAGGCGGAGATGGCGCTGTCGGGCGGCGCAGCGGAGGCGTTCCGCGCGCAGGTGAAGGAGCTGCGGCTGGCCGTCGCGCGGAAGGGGCGCGAGGCGTCTTCCGCGCGCATGCAGGCGCAGAAGCGCGACAAGGAGCTGAATCGCGCCAAGGGCGAGCTGGAGCGCGACCGGGCGGCGCTGAAGGCGGCGAAGGCGCGCGTGTCGGAGCTGGAGAAGCAGGTGCGCGCGCAGGTGGACGAGGCGGAGAGGCTGCGGAGTTCGGTGAACGCGGAGCGCGCGGAGATGCTCAACGCGAGCACGGAGCTGGCGCAGCTGCGGAAGGAGTTCCGCCGGGTGGACGGCGAGTTGCGCGAGGCGAAGCTGGTGCTGAACCTCAAGGAGGCGGAGATCGTCAGCCTGCGACTGCAGCTGCGCGACGCGCAGGCGAAGCTCGCGACGTCGCAGGCCGACCTGGCGACACGCACGGCGGACCTGATGGCGGCGCAGCGGTCGATGGTGGAGATGCGGCGCGAGATGAAGGCGGTGGCGATGGAGCTGCGCGTGAAGGAGGAGCGCCTCGCGGGCATGGCGGCGGACATGGCGCGCAAGGACGCGCGCCTGGCGCAAGTGGAGCAGCAACTCGATGGCAGCAACGCGCGCCTCGTCGTCGCCGAGTCGACCGTCCAGCAGATCGCACAGCTGTCGCAGAAGCTCGCAGACTCCGCGCTCGAAGCCGCCGAGCGACTGGGCCTCGGCCCGTCGGTGTCGCTCGATGCGGCGCCGCTGTCCGCCGGTGCAGCTAAGGGGAGGCAGTACCTGAACGCGCACGGCGGGGTGGGCGAGAGCGCGCTGCTGGCGGAGACGAACCAGCAGCTGTTCGCTGCGAGCCGCGCGCTGCTGGAGCGCGACGCGGCGCTGCACCGCCTGCAGGTGTCGACGCGCGAGGGGCGCGAGGCGGAGGTGCGGCTGCGCGGGGAGCTGGCGGTGGCGCAGGAGGAGCTGCGCGAGCGCGAGGGCGAGGTGGTGGAGGTGCGCGCCGTGCTGCAGGAGCGCGACGAGGAGGTGCGGCGGCTGCGCGCGCGGTGGGGCCAGCGAGAGGGGGAGTTGAGCGCCATCCGCGAGGAGGTGGTGGCGGGCGCGCGGGAGATCGGCGAGCTGAAGCGCGCCATCACGGGCGCGAGCAGAGCGGGCGAAGGGGAGGGAGAGGGCGTGCAGTTGGCGGACGAAGTGGTGAAGCTGGAACTCGAGGTGAGGGGCGCGGGGAGGTGGCGTGGTGGAGTGTGGTGGGTTGGGATGATGGGCAGGTGGATGGGTCTGGACATGGCATAGGGTGGTAACATGCTTGCATGGGGGGATGTGTGTGGCTGGAATCAAGGGAGAGCTCGCCAACCTTGCTTTCTCCACCCACTTCTTCCCCCTCCCTTCAGGTGGCCAAGGCGGAGGTGGAAACGTCCATGATGGCGCGGTAGGGGCTGCTGGACCTCATTGTTTGTGTTGCAATGCTACTTGCTAAACAGCTCACCAACCTTGCTTCCTCCGCCCACCTCTCCCCATCCCCACCCCCTCCAGGTGGCCAAGGCAGAGGCGGAGACAGCCATGACGGCGCTGCAGGGGCTGCTGGACCTCAGCTACCAGCTACGGGACGACTGCGCCACCCATGCCCTCCCAGCCACACACCCTCGCCAACCTGCCGTGCCACCTGCTGCTGCTGATATGCTGGCACGTGCAGGGGCACATGTGGCGGTGGGCAGTGGAGCCCCCAGAGGGGCGAAGGGGGAGGTAAAGGAGGAGGCGGGGGTGGTGCAGCGGCGGGTGGTGCAGCGGGAGGAGGCGCTGGGGCTGGCGGCGAGGGCCATGGGTGGGCTGAAGCGGCTCACTCGCAAGCTGGTGGCAGACGCTGAAAGCGAGCTGGCGGGCGTCATGGGCGGCAATGCTGCTTGATGCATCATGGGGTTATGGGGGCGGCAGCCCTGCTTGTGGCTGGAGGACGAGGATGCCATGGCTGATGCCAGCTGTGCTTGAATGCGAAAATAGTGGGTCTCATTCTGTTTGTGTTGCAGTGTTGTGTATAATGTGGAAGCCAGTTACGTACTCAGATCAGCCATGTGCAGCAGGGAAGGGCAACCTGTTCAGTAGTGTGAGGCAGCTGCTGTTGCGGAAACTCTAGTTGCTGTAGGATATTGGTCATTTTGAGCATAGTAGCTTTGCCCCCTTTTTCCATGGTAGTGTATGCCATGAGAGCGTTGGATGATTGGAGAAAGGACAACGATTGCATGCATGGGCATTGGGCATTATCTATGTTGGAAACATCTAATTCACGCTTCTGATGTGTCGAGCACTAAAGCAAGAACGAAGAATATCCACAGCGAAGCAACACCGAGTCAACCAAGATACAGCAAAGCGGTTGACAAGGCGACAACAGCAGGAGGTTGAAGCGAAGGTCAAAGGTCAGCAACCTTTGTCTCGACAAAGCAAGCGCGACAGCAAGGACAAATAACTGACTCGCTATTGAGCAGTTACCCGAGTCGTCGCTGTATCGAACCGCATTAGCAGTTACAATTGCAGTTAGTGAAACCTTTCATATTCTCTGTAATCATATAAAAGCCCTTGTATCTCTATGTTATAATCAACTCATCTTGTTCTCCCATACCGTCATACCCCGGATACTAGCGCATATGCGCTTATAATAAATTTATGTTTTTGAGGGGAGGGCGCTTGTAATTGAGTAACGGTCGTATGTCAGAATGTTATTGTATACATCACTTTATAACTGCCTGCAATGTAGACTTAGTGTAGTTACCTTGCTTGTTAGGTGGTGCACCTTGCTTCACTTCTTTCATATTTGTACCCTTGAACCTATAGTGAAACCCTCATTCCCCTTCACAACTTTCTCGACACTCTCCTCACCCTCGAACTTAACTACCAAGGCTCCTAAGCTATGGCACCCAAGCCCACCTAACTCTACCTACTTCTCTCACATGGAATCAGAGCGACTACGCTCTTGGCCTGTGGGCCCCACGTGCTTCCGCTGCTTTCTTTTCTGTCGCGCGCCCCGTGGCGCGCGACACTTTTTTCTTCCCGCCACGCGCTCGGGGCGCGTGGCGGTTTTCCGCAAGCCGTGCGCCCCGGACGCGCGGACGCCGCCCTTCTCGGCCCCTCACGGCCTCTTCGCGGCCCCGTCGCTGCTCCTCTCACGGCCCCTCGCGCTACCCTCGGTGGCCCCGTCGCCACACTTCGCGGCCCTGTCGCCGCCCCATCTCGGCACCGTCGCCGCCTTTAGCGGCCCCGTTGCCGCCCCTAGCGGCCCCGTCGCCGCTCTTCGCGGCCCCGTTGCCGCCCCTAGCGGCTCCGTTGCCGCCCCTTGTGGCCCTGTCACCTGCTCGTTGCGGCGCATCCCCCCCTGGCCGCCGCCTCTGCCTCCCTTGCGCCCGTGCCTGCTTTGCAGCAGCGCGCGGGCCTGCCTTGCAACAGCAGCCGCCCCTGGAGCAGCCACCCCAGCAGCAGCCGCCCCAGCAGCAGCCGCCCCTGGAGCAGCCGCCGCTGCAGCAGCCGCCCCTGGAGCCGCCGCCCCTGGAGCAGCCGTCACTGCAGCAGCCGCCCCTGGAGCCGCCACTGCAGCAGCAGCCCCTGGAGCAGCCGCCCCAGCAGCAGCCGCCCCTGGAGCAACCGCCGCTGCAGCAGCCGCCCCTGGAGCAGCCGTCACTGCAGCAGCCGCCCCTGGAGCCACCGCTGCAGCAGCAGCCCCTGGAGCAGCCGCCACTGCAGCAGCCGCTACCCCTGCAGCAGCCGCCCCTGAAGCGGCCGCCCCTGCAGCAGCCGCCCCTGGAGCAGCCCGCAACTGCAGCAGCCGCCCCTGGAGCAGCCTGCACCTGCAGCAGCCGCCCCTGGAGCAGCCCTCAACCGCAGCAGCCGCCCCTGGAGCAGCCCGCACCTGCAGCAGCCGCCCCTGGAGCAGCCCGCAACTGCAGCAGCCGCCCCTGGAGCAGCCTGCACCTGCAGCAGCCGCCCCTGGAGCAGCCCTCAACCGCAGCAGCCGCCCCTGGAGCAGCCCGCACCTGCAGCAGCCGCCCCTGGAGCAGCCAGCAACTGCAGCAGCCGCCCCTGGAGCAGCCCGCACCTGCAGCGGCCGCCCCTGGAGCAGCCCGCACCTGCAGCCCGTCCCGTTCCCCCCCCCCCCCCCCCCCCCCCCCCCGTGCATTCCGTGGTGCTGGGGGTGTGGGGTGCCGAGCATGGGGGTGGCGGGTGTGGGGGTGGCGGTTATGTGTTCCTCCCCTTGCTCCTCCTCCTCCCTCGTCTCCCACTGCTGCAGCTGTCGCTGAGGGGGGTGGGTGTGTGGGAGCCTAGGGTTTAGGGTTTAAGGGGGGTGCTGTGGGAGTGGAGCTAGGGTTTGAACAGGGAGTGTGTGAGAGGGGAGTGGGGCAGCTGGGGGAGGTTGTGTGAAGGTAGCTGTCGTGTCGCCTGCAGCGCCTGTAGTCCGTCGCCCTTGCTTCGGTAGCCAGTGAGCCTGTTGCACCAGTCGCCAGTGGGTCCGTTGCTCCTGCCGCTCGTCTATAGCCGCGGAGCCAGTCACTCCAGTAGTCCGTCGCCCTTGCTTCGGTAGCCACTGAGTCAGCCGCTCCTGTGCCCGTGCCTCTGCAGCTTCAGTCGTTGCCTCGCATCTTCTCTTCCTCCACAGTCTCTCCTCCTCATTTGCCCTCTCTGTCTGCTGCGCTCTACTTGGTGTACCCCTTCCGGGGGTGTTTCTGCACATGGTTCTTCACTGCAGGCAGTTAGGGGGTGTGTCAGAATGTTATTGTATACATCACTTTATAACTGCCTGCAATGTAGACTTAGTGTAGTTACCTTGCTTGTTAGGTGGTGCACCTTGCTTCACTTCTTTCATATTTGTACCCTTGAACCTATAGTGAAACCCTCATTCCCCTTCACAACTTTCTCGACACTCTCCTCACCCTCGAACTTAACTACCAAGGCTCCTAAGCTATGGCTCCCAAGCCCACCTAACTCTACCTACTTCTCTCACATCGTAAGCGCCGGCGATTTTATAAAGGCAAAACTGGATTTCACTGTAAAGGATATCATTCTGAAGCCCTCAATAAGGCGAATATAACACTGTACCATGCGCGTGGGGTCGTGCATGGAATGACGGCGAACTTGCCGCACAAAACCCGTCCCGGTGCAACGCACGTGCCAGTGCTGATGCAAAACCTGCCGTGCGGCCCAGTGACTAAGGCAGACGCAGCAGCTGACTCAAAGGAAGGGTCAGTGACAACTGTGGACAGGAGACGCGCGACAGTAGGACTAGCAGCACGAAGAGAGTCAGACTCTGGGTCAGCAAGGGCAGGAAGGGAGGACGCAGGAGGAGAAGGCAGAGGGACACGCCGTGGAGCAGTGGAAAGACGAAGCAGCATCGGGTGAGTGCCGGGGACAGCAGGAGGACGCTGACGCGGGACACGACGACTAGGGCGAGCAGCACGAACAGGTGACGCAGAACGAGACTCAGGTGACACAGGACGAGACTCAGGCTCACGACGCTCTGTAAGACCTCCTGTCGGACCAGTGTAGGGAGAAGGACCAGGAAGAGGTGAGGTGGGCTGGAACTGCGACTGTGGTCGGACAGGCGAAGGACACCCTAGGGAGGGAGCAGGACAAGGAGGAGGCGGCTGACCAAGAACCTGCCGAAGAAGCGGAGCGCAGTACGGCCGCGGCCGTGACGCTCCCCCAGAACCAGCAGAGACAGCACGAGAACCTCCAGCAGCAGCTCCAGCTCCCGCAGCACCAATAGCACCTCCAGGAGTGCCAACCCCAGGACCTCCAGTAGTACCAGCGACAGCAGCACCACTAGTCTCAGGACTAGGAGCACCACTAGGAGCTACAGCAGCTCCAGTACCCCCAGCAGCACCTCCAGCAGCTCCAGTACCTCCACCAGCACCAGCAGCACCGCCAGCAGCACCAGTACCTCCAGCAGCACCAGCAGCACCTCCAGCAGCCCCAGTACCTCCAGCAGCACCGGCAGCACCGCCCGCAGCTCCAGAACCTCCAGTAGCACCAGCAGCACCAGTAGCACCTCCAGTAGCTCCAGTACCTCCAGCAGGGGGTAACTCAAAACGAGGGGCTCCACTCCGGAGGCCGCAGCGCCGAGTGTACCACTCACGTAGTCGCTGTGGAGAGGGAGCACCAGCAAGGTCACCACCCCCAGGCTCAGCACCCCGAGGCTCAGCACCCCCAGTCGCAGCACCCCAAGGCGCAGCACCCCCAGTCACAGCACCCCCAGGCTCAGCACCCCCAGTCGCAGCACCCCCAGGCTCAGCACCCCCAGTCGCAGCACCCCCAGGCGCAGCACCCCCAGTCTCAGTGCCCCCAGGCTCAGTACCCCGCTCAGGACCAGAGTCAACAGCTACCTCGACAGGCTCGACTGCGTCTACCTGGGAAACACCGGAGGGAGCAGGACCCTGGGGAGGGAGGGGGTCTACCGGAGGGGCACCTGGGGTGAGGAAGAGAGGCGGGGGGGGGGAGAGGAGCAGTGCGGTAGGGGAACAGACGGTAGAAGGGTACCGACTCGTCAAAGGTGACGTCCTGAGACGCAAAGACACGGCGCGAGGTGGGGTGGTAAAACCGCCAACCAGGTGCGTCGGGGACAAAGCCAAGGAAGACACAAGGCACAGCGCGGGCGGAGAGCTTGTCCGCAGTGGTATCACGGACAAAGGAACGAGCACCCCAGACACGGAAACGCGACGCATCGCCAACCTGCCCCGTCCACAGCAGTGTGGGCGAGGTCTCCGGAGCGGAGACACGGGGCCAGAGGTTGAGCTGATGCGCAGCGTACTGGACCGCAAACGGCCACAGAAAATGGGGGGCAGCCGCATGGATCAAGGAGGTACGAGCGATCTCCATGACCAAGCCAATGCGGCGCTCAGCAGCCCCATTCTGCTGAGGAGAGGCCG